TGCAAACACCAGTTTTAAAGTAAGTAGAGGCAAGAAAATCAATCACTCAGTCTTTTACTCCAGATGACTGCCTGGATGTTGGTACCTTGATGGGGAGGAGGCCCTCCGCCATGTGCTACTTATGCTTCCTCTGAAAGTTTTCTTAATTATCCTTTTGGTATTTTTCCATTTTAACATTAGTGTCAGATTATATACTTCTTCTGAAAGGCAAAAATACTACTTTAGAATTGCATTATATTTGCAGTGAGCACAGGAAGAACTGCCAGTGCTTTAGCGTTGAGTCCTGCTGTCCAGGAGCATGACTTACCACTCGGATCCTGAGTCGTACTTCTGCCTTTCCAAGTTGGCTTAGAGATTTTCTTCTTCCACACAGATCTTGCACATTTCTTCTTAAATTTATTTCTAAGTATTTTATCTTTTGTACTACTTTGTAGCAGGGCGTTTTCTTCTAATATATCTTCTCATATTACTCATGAAATCTCTTTACTTCTACATAGTTTTCACTTGGAAAATTCACTGTATTCTCTTAAGGTTTAAATTTAACTTTTATTTTTATTAAACTTTTTCCATTTTATCTTTACATACTTTTTAAGTTAAATGACTATTTCTGTCTTAATGATGTAATAATTTAGGCCTATAGTTTTTCCTTTAAGAATTGATTTGTTTTGATTATATAGGCTCTGATATGAGGTACTTTCATTGTAAATGTTTCTAGAAATGCTGCAGTACTATTTTGTTTCCTTTTTGACCCGAGAATTTTTTTTTTCAGTATCAGGGATTGAACTCAGGACCTTGTGTTTGCCAGGCAAGCGCTTATTCTACTGAGCTATCTCCCTGTCTCCCTCAAGAATTTTTTTGAAATAGGTTTTCTTAACTTCCAATAGAAGGATGTTTTAATTTCTCATTTTATCAATAATTTAACTTTATAGTTTTTTGATAAAAGAAAATTATTTATAGCTCACCTACCTATCTATATTTTGGTATTAATTTTATAAATCTTAGCCAAAAACATGCCAGTTAAAAAGGTCTCTGAGCACATCAAAAGAAATATGTTACCTATTTTCAGAGTTTGATATGTAATTATCAGATACCTTCATGTTTACATTTTCTGTTTTCTTGATCTTTTATGAAATGAAAGGAATGAATTAACTTGAGCAAATGTGGCATTTATTTGTATCGTCTATAATTTCTATCCAAGGAATCACTTCTTTTTTATTCGTCCCACGCTTTTCTCATTGCCACATCTCCGTGTGCATGGCCTCTTTGCTTTTTAACATGCACATCTTTGTCCTGCTTCTGTGGACTTTCCTCTCAGAGGACCATTAGAGCATCTGCTGTTACATGACACATTTTCCTGCTGAGCTTGCCCACATTTTGCTTTTTTAACATTTCTGAATTGTGAACACTTTCATTTTAGAATCTTTGTTCTAGGGCTAGAAAGACGGTTCAGTGGCATAAGCACATGCCTGTCAAGTGCAAGGTCCTGAGTTCAATCCCAGGTACCAACAACAACAAAAAAAAAAAAAAAAGAAAAAAAATGAATGTTTGTTTTTTGTTTTAGAAATATACGGATATGTCATAATATTATGTATCATGTATAGAGTATGTGATTGATATCGTGTACAGTAAGATGTTGCTTTGGGAATCAATTTAAGAATAGAAAACAAAGGGGCCAGGGAGATGACTCAGTGGAATAAGCGCTTCCCTGGCAAGCGCAAGGGCCTGAGTTTAATCCCCGGTTCTGCCAAAAAAAAAAAAAAAAAAAAAAAAAATTAGGAAGGTTTATAATTGACTTAGTACTCTAAAAAAATTCATCAAATATTTTAATTTTCTCTTCTGATTCCATTTTTGTCTTTTACCAATATTTTTTTCAGAGTACATACTCTTATTTTTATTTTATTTTATTTTATTTTTAATTTTTTTTACATACTCTTATTTTTAAAATATTATTAGATGTCAATTATTGGGCAGTTAGCTTCTTAAATGATATTTATCAGTCCCCATCACCATGTGTTAGGTTACCTCATCTTTCCCCTTTCCATTCTAAATCTGGTTGTTGCATACAGTCTAAAAAATCAAAGCACATAGAGCTTGCATCTGTCTGTGTCTTTGTCTACTTTGCCCCAATGAGCAAAGTAGATTAGTTCTGTTCTTTCTACAGAACAGAATTGACTTCTAGTTTTCAGACTTGGAGATTGGATGTCCAAGAGGAGGGCATGAGCATCTGGGGAAGGTCTCTGTGCATCACCAGCCCATGGCAGAGGGCAGAGGGCAAGAGAGGGCACAGGAATACTAAAGGTGCGGGACTTGTCCCACCCAACAGCCTTCATCCACTCACAAGGGCCACACCTTCCTGCCTAAATACCTCTTCGGGGCCATACCTAGCAGTGTTGCCATGGCAATTTTTCTTTCAACATGAATTTAGGAGAGACAAGAATCCCACAGCCTGTCCCCAAATCCTTGTACTTCTATTAAATCTTAGTTGGATAATAACATATTTCTGAATCCTTCCATAGTTCCTTTGGTCAGTTTGTCAGACATACTTTACTTGAAGTGCATGTTTTCGCAGGTCCCTCAGGAAAGACTTTTTGTGACTATTATTCCCTAAGTTCTTAAATTTCTAAATCATTTGCATCTCTTAATTCTGGGAGATTTGACTGCCTATAAAATTCTTGGTTCTGGGGCCAGGGAGATGGCTCAGTGGAATAAGCGCTTCCCTGGCAAGCTCAAGGGCCTGAGTTCAATCCCCAGTTCTGGAAAAAAAAAAAAAAAAAAATCTTGGCCCCATATTTTTTTTGCAAGAGTCTGTTGTAGGTATTACTCTCTTTTTGCAGTTGAATGTAGAAATGTGAATGCTTTGTGTTTGCTCTTAAGGTTCTTGTTTTACTCTTTAGCGTACAGGATCTTTGCTAATGTATTTCTTAGCACTAACCAGTATAGATCAGTTTTAATGGATTAAAGTCTTTTACTTTCAGGGTTTTTTTTTTTTAATTTTTATGTATTTGGTACAGGATCTCACTACACAGCTTGGACTTGTAGTGATCCTCCTATTTCAGCCTCCCCAGTGCTGGGATTACAGGTGTGTGCCACCACACCCAGTCTTGGTATATGGTTCTGTATATTCGGGGTGGGACCTGCATGGTATATGGTACTGGGGATTGAATCTCATCTCAATCCTTGCACAAGTGCTTAGACCCCTGAGTTTTCTCTGTAGCACTACTCTCAGTTTTTAATTTATAAGTTTTAATTTTAAAATATTTTGGTAAAATGTTTGATCACATGTTCAACTTTTCCATGACAGCATTTTGTCAGGATCATTGATAGGTGGTCAGTTGATTGGTCAGTTGGTCTGTCTGTCTGTCTGTCTCTGTCTCTCTCTCTCTGTCTCTGTCTCTCTCTCTCTCTCTCTCTCTCTCTCTCTTTCTCTCTCTCACACACCTCTGTGTACCAAACCTGGGCCCTCTCACATAGTAGGCAACCACTAAGCTATACACCACAGCCCACAGCCCATTGCTGAATTCTTCAAAACTGTGTTTAGCTTTTGCTTTGTCTTTTTCTTAGTTCTGCTATTTTTAAAATATATCCTCTTATTATAAAATTTGCATATAATAAAATCCACTTCTTTTAGATGCAATACCATTAATTTGTGTAAACTCACTCGGTTCCTTTCTAGGTGACTATTAATCACCACTAGAATCAGGATAGTTTCATCACCCATACAAATCCCTGGGCTTGCCCTTGAATAGGATTCTTCATTGATGTTTCATCCAATACTTTTTATATTACTCACCAGTGAATGAGGTGAGTCTTCTTGGGTCTGCTGTTTGCATTATGCTTCTGTCCTGAGTTAGGGAGAAGTGCTAGATGGTTCCTCCATGACAGGTTCTGTCACCACACTCTGAACTTCTCTAAGGCCTAGAGACTCTCTCCACTACCATAAAGAAAGATTTATCTGTCTCTTATACTGGGGAGGTGAGCACTTCATCTCCAGGCAGTAAAAGCCTTCAGTTCATCCAGATTGACACATAATAGTTCATGCCAAGACACGTTTTAATAAATATTTTAGAGATAAAAAGTGAATTGAGAAATCTGTGGATGTTGAACATGCCATCACTCTGTTTCTTTGTTACCTTTATACTCCTGTGGTGTTCATTCCCTACTGTACATGTTTTTAGAGTTACTGGAAACTGTGTTTTCCAGTTTCTCTAGAAACAAAGATTGTACAGTTTGGTGATGGCTGTGTACTAGATTGCATTTGGATGTTTTCCAGAAGGTGAAGAGTGAAACTGTGTTCAATGCCACCACTCACTTAGGGAAGCCCCTCCCCACTGTGCGCTTCTGGCTGGAATCCTCAGGCTGTCTGCCTGTCCTGTTATCCCCAGCTCCAGTAAAGTTTTCTTGTAAAGCAATTTGTTATGCTCTAGGCTTCTTCATGATTTCCTAAACACAGGATTTCAAAGTTTATTTTCTTTTTCCATTTTCTTTTAGCTTGGCTTGTTTTTTTCTTCCTTGACATACTCATGTTCAAGCTTTAAAACTTCAGCCTTAGTTTGCCTTCTTGAAAAGCCCTTCCTTGACACCTCTCTCTGGAATTCCTCTCGCCTATGTGCCTCCTTACACTTTCCCGTTGTTGGTACAGCTGACCTTATTGTTTCTGATCTTTATCCCCCTGTCATCAGCAACCCAGTGAGTGTCCCATACCAGTGTATTAACTGGTCAAGACAGACTTCTCAGATTCTGAGTTCCTAGAGTTCACAGCTCTCCTCCAACAGCCAGCACTTGCCTCACCTGGCTTCGTCTAGTGTTAACCCATCTAGTAGAAAGGTCCAATATTCTGATTCATCTTCAGTTTCTTATCTAGCTTTTGGTCTCAGAGTGACTGAATCATGTCAAGGCAGTGTCTCCACTCTGGGGCAGTAACCGAAACTTCTCTTGATTTGCAGCTTTCATACAACGTGGGAAAGCCTGTGATCACTAATGGAAGCCCTTCTGCATTGCAGGTGATGCAACAGTAACCATAGCGCACAGATACACCCCCAGGGAGCAGCTGAAGACCCAGACACGGCTGGCAGACATTGTTGTGGTCGCTGCAGGTGGGCTCTCCATGATGTTTTGTGGGGGAAACAGCAGCAGCAGAGCAGTTTTTGCCCTAACTGCTAACATATTTGAAAGAACAGTTGGAAGATAAGCTAGGAATATGTATGGCTGAACCTTCATCAATTAGATCCTGTCTCTTTGCCATCATTGTACAGGTCCATTTTGTCTCTGTGAGCATTTTTCCCTTCACTGTAGATAATATAAGTACTTTGGGATGACATGTTAGATACATGAAGCTATTCTTTGAGAGTAAAAGCTAGATAAGGAACTGAAGATGCTGTGGCTATAGGGGGAAAGAAATAAAACTTGTAAGTGGTGTTCATGAAAACAGAACATCCCAAGAGGAAAAGACAGATAGACAGCCACTGGCCACCTCAGGCTGAAGTCCATGCTCGGAGGGCAAAGTTAGTGGACTGGACCAGGTCCAAAGCCCAAGCCCTGGGAGACATTTCCTCGGTGAGGGTGTGTAGAGTCAGAACTGCTGGACTGGGTGAGCTTAGTCTACAAGGAAGAAAAGATGACTTAAAATGGTACAAGAGGGGCTGGAGAGATGGCTCAGTGGTCTAAAGCACCTACTTAGAACAAGCTTAGCAAAAGCATCAGGGACCGCGGTTCAATCCCCCAGCA